CCCAGCTGTGTGTCTCCTGAGACCGACCAGTCACATGAACATGACATCGATGTTAAAGGACAAAAAGTCTCTGCTGCACAGTAAGCTGACATTAAATGTCAAATGAAGCTGACAGCTTCCCAGTATAACTGGTCTTCTACTGCTGATATTTAAGTTCTCCTTCTGAATCTAACCCCAACTCTCTGGGGACTAGTTGAGGAGGTCTCCTCAGGTGTGTTGTGGCCTAAACCAAACCTCAGTTTGAAGTGATGTGGCAGGTCAACAGTGTAAAGTCTGAACCCATCAGACTAACAACACACTGCTTAAACAATCACACACCAAATACAAACAAGTATCACATCAGCTGTGACTCTAGTTGTTTAGTTATTGTATCCCATTGTAATGTTGGTTAAATAAGCATTATAAACAAGACGTGTTTCAAGCACATGCTTTAACTGTAATAAAATAACTTCCAGTGCCAAATAAAACCAGTGAAATCAGAGACAGAAATCTTGTATGGTCAGTAAATTTCAGTGTTTCTATCAGTTTCCAGCAGCAGAGAGAAAAGTCCCCTGTACCCAGCTGTGTGTCCATGAACAGTGATCGGTCAAAAGATGATTGGATTGACTTCAAAGATGGACTCCCTTCTTCTGACCTGCTGTAAGTAAATAAAACTGTTGATTGAAACAGATGAACTAACTGTTCTGATCCTCAGTCATGAGACACAGAATCGGGTGTCCATCATTTACAGTGTTGTTTACATCTGGTTTTCATTCTGATCAATCATGACAGAACACGTCTTTAACTAACTGGTGTGTGTGTGTGTGTGTGTGTGTGTGTGTGTGTAAATCATTAAGTGTAAACAGTCTATGGTGCAACATAATCAGAGCTACTTCCTCCTCAGAGTCGACCAGGAGAGGTCATATTTTCAGATAGTTTCAGATTTGTTGGGACTGACACAAGACTGAGGACCAGCTGCAAAGGTCTTGAGAATAGATGAAGTAGTCTGGGGACTAGTTCAACAGTTTTGGGGACTACCTGTGGTGGTATGGGGAGCAGCTCTGGATCAGGTGCAGAGGTCTGGGGACTTGCTGTGGGGGTTTTGGGACTACTGTCAGAGGTCTGTGTTCAAGCTTCAGAGCTCTGTGAACAAGTTGTAAAGGTATGTGGACCAGTGTCAGATGTTTGGGGCCTAGCTACAGAGGTCTGTGCACTGGCCACAGAATTCTGGGGACTACCTGCAGAGGTCTGGTGACAGAGTGCAGTTTGATGAAGAGTCAGTAGTTTAAAAGAGTTTCCTGTTGGAAGGTCGCCATTTGTTCATAACTAGTCTTTTGTTTTGCAGACGCCTCCAGAAACACCCTCTGATTAAAGCTAAAGACTCAGATTGCTAATTGCAATCACAATCAGGGAACATAGTTCAGGCTCCGCCTACAAATGACCAACACAAAGGTTTATCACTGACAGAATCTGACCTTACTCCCAGGTGTGCTGTGATTCAACCCAAATACAGGCCACAGTTTCAAGTGGGTGGAAGGTCAAGAATATTAAGTCTTAACCTGGCATGGGTATAAAATTCCCAAATTCCTAATAGCACATCAGATTGTGGTGGTCGGTGCCCTGCGTCACACACATCCACTACTCAACTCAAAAATACCTATGCTGGGTT